AGGCACTCTTCCACCTCCAGTAAATCGTCCTATTCGGCCTCGGCCTACCACTAAACCTAAAACACCTAAACCGTTACCAGAAGGCGAGGAAGGACGTATAAACCTTAAAAACAAGGTAGCACCTCAACCAGACCTTACGACTAAACCTGCGGTAGAATTGACAAAACCTGTGGTAAAATTGACGACTAAAGCGGTTGAAAACTGCTCCGAAGTTTGTCCACTGATTTTTGAGCCAGTGTGCGCCACTGATGGTAAGGATTACCCAAATCTCTGTGTCTTTGAGGCGAGTAAATGTACTGGCAACACCGACAAATCGGTAACGGTTGACTACTATGGCTTATGCGAAGACAGTCCCACCACCCCTCCAGTCGGTAATCTGGATAGTACGTCATCATACAGATATTGTCCAGAGGATGTCTGTGAAGATACCCCCAACTATGTCTGCGGAACGGATGGAAAAACGTACCTCAACAAATGCTCATTGTTAAAGGTAGCGTGCGCCGGTGGCAATTCAAGTAATCTGGATATTGAATACGAAGGTGAATGCAGAAGCTTGGACGTTACAGTTTCACCCGAAGGAGAGGGAAATACAACCATGGAACCACTGCCAACACCAAAGAGATCACAGGAGATGACTACAGCTGACCCATGCGCGAATCCTACGTGTGAGGTGGTCTGGCAACCTGTGTGTGCAAACGACGGAAAAACGTACCCATCACAATGTGTCGTGGACAATATCAATCTATGTAGCGGTATCACAATAACAGTGTTGTACAATGGCGAATGCGTCAAATCCACGACCGCTTCCAAATGCCCAACATGCCCGCCTTTGCAGCTGGATCCCGTGTGTGGTACAGACAACATCAGCTACCCTTCCAGATGCATCATTCAAAAATATAACTGCGAAAGTAATATGGATATTGAAGTGGCTTATGAGGGTGAATGCCTGCGAGGCGACATCTAAATCAACTACGATCTATTATACTTTCGTCGTATTGTCGTTTTCTCTACAACCAGTGAACTGTGTATAAACTGTGGTTTACAATATTCTAATGATGCCTAAATGCGTAATATAGATTAAACAAATAGTCGTAAACGGATTTCCGACTTCGTCAAAGAGAACCTGCAGATAATAAGTCAAGAAAGATAGAACGATGTATATATTATTTTTCTCTGGTGAGAACATCCAGCAGATTTTTTTTCTCATTGGAGTTAGGTGTGTTTACATGTATTGAAGTACTGTAATATTATAAAATAATATAAATCTCAAATTCGCTCAAGATTTCTTATTATTATGATGCTCACACTGGATAGATCAAACATAAATGTAAGCCCTATGGAAGAAGAGGGTGTTTTACATGCATGAAATGGGCCGGGAGGGATTTGTTGTGCCTGGAATTTGCCAAATCCAATTCTGTTCCCTACTGAATTCAAGAAGGCATGTTGAATTCAATGAACATTTTTGTGACCAAAGTTGTATCCTTCCGCTAAAGGAAGGTTTATCTGTAGAGTAAAAACATCTTCAGCATAATTCTTTATCGACATCATCTTTGATTAAAAAAATATCAATAGTAATTATTTACCACCATTGATAAATATTATCATCATCGTCACCATCAACATTATCATTATTATTATCATCATCCTCAACATCATCATCGTCGTCATCATAATCTTCATCGTCGTCGTCATCATAATCTTCATCGTCGTCGTCATCATCGTATTCACCATTATCAGCGTTATACTCATAATAATCCCCAATAAAATACTGTAGTCAATCATCATCAATCATCATAATATCAAATCCATCACCATGAATCATTCTCATTATCATCGTCGTTAGTAGCAGCATGTACAAAGTCATTCGTCACCGCCACTATCATACATTACATTCAAATACAATTTATTCCGCCAAACAACCTCCAAGTAAAGCTGAGTTTTCATACAACCGCTATAGTGTTTTCACTGCAAATGTTATACCGCGCAGCTGTATCCAACGCTATCGGGAAGGCTCTCCGATTCGACCGACCAATCAGACGACTGACCAGGATTTAGAATGAAATAATTGTAATTATTTTAAAATATCTATGTTCAGCAAATAAACTACACTTTAACAATAATTTCTATTTGCTTTCAATAAATTTAATCGAGAAAAAATGTTTTCCCAACAAATTAGTAGACGTAAAGAAAACTGTTCCTACTGTATATTCTTTGCACAAACAATTAATTTGGCTGGAAGACAGTATACCGTAATGATTTTGTAGTAGGCATAAAACAGTCTGAAAATCAGGGAAAACTGCAGTGTTTCCATTGTTGTCTCATTTAAAGTTCATACCATACGTTTCAATGTACTAACTGAATGTTTGAGCGTTTTTATTTTCCAGGTTTACCAAGATTTTTCTCTTGTCCAAATAATAAATAAAATAATTTTTAATAAGTCTATTTTTACCTTTTTATTTTAATTTCTGCTTTGTTGAGTTGTACAATGCCTTCACGGCCTTGTTGAAAAACACCATTGCGGTAAACAAGTGTTTCCGTAGTTAAATAAAGTTTTTATTATTATTATTATAGGGCACTAACTGCGCTCGACGGCCGTCGGTCGATGTATGAAGAACGCAACGTCACGACACGCGCTCAACAGCATTTTTAATCCATTTAAGCCCATCGCACTGGACTTAATTTGGTCAAATTAACCGAGTCACTGTCTAAATTGACCAAAAAAATCCAATCTGAACGTCGGTTACAATTCCCTCAAGGTTAAATTAACCAAGCCGAATGGTTAATTTTACCGACCTTAGCCTGCCCAGTAAAACTTACCACGGTCTCGGTTAACTGGTCAAGAAGTCCAATCCGAACGTGCAACACGGTTAAAACTTCTTCCATGTTGACACCGCTCGAACAAAACCGGAAGTTGAAGTCACAAACTAGCGCCCTCAATAATATTTTTATACACAAGGTTAAATCTTGGTAAAACTAACCGCGTGAATAATCCAAGTGCGAACAATGGTGAAATGTACCCATGACTTTGGTTAAAGTTATCCTGGTTAAATTTACCATTTTTTAAATCCAGTGCGAACAAGGCTTTAGACTCGCCGACAATGAGCAGAAAGCGTCGCTTTAGAGAGCTCGATTCGCCGTACGACGCAGTGAGTGCCCTGGCTTAACTACTACTATAAGTGACGTGACCATATCAAGCAGAGCTTGAACACAAAATGGCACGTTTTAATATAAGCTTACACTAAACTTCTAATAAATAAATAAGTATAATAGGCCTATTATAAAGGTATAATAATTGGAACAGTTTGACAATGAGATACGGTAACTTAATGATTACCTGCAATAAAAAGTAAATGATTTTTAAACTTTTCTTGGACGATTTCTGAGCAGTATTTGCAAAGTTAATGGGAGAAATTTTCAGATTTTTTTTTTGTCGATGTATGAATATTGCATTATGACGTGATGAAGTACCACATATAAACCTAGTAAGCGTTATGTATCTTTGACCAATCCGAGATGTTCAAGCGAACATACCGCTATCACACACACGGACTTTACATTTTAGATGATGATGCAGTCTTCGTAGAATCACGTCGGTCGACGCCGATGCTTAAGTTTCATACAATGATACATCGTGTTACTAACTAGTAATTGGATCAACAATAAATAAATGTTTTCTAAACTCTACATCATCAGCATTACACGATCTGAACGCAATGTCGCGTCGTATGTGCGCCTTTATAATATAAAATGTTTACAGTGCACTAACACCTCTAATACGAGACCATTTTTTCCAAAGGACCCAATAACAATATTCAAACTAGCAACACAGATTGGGAGACCGAAACCCGAGACCGCCATGTTCTAGTCTCAAGGGTAGTCTCGAATTGGAGGACGAGCTATCATTGGATAATATAGTATAAAACGAATGAGGTAGATTCTCTTAATCAACCTGAGCGGATCCATGACATATATGAGGCGGCGCTCTCAGAACAAATAATCGGTTTCCCTTTCAAACTATATGGGTCCCGACCTAAAGTGTGGTCGTCAAAATATGTGTAGTGTCGCCTCACAGGAAGTTTATGTACAATAGAATATTTAGTAATCTAAACTAAGTGTTAATCAATTATTTTTGATAGGGTCACGAATTTTAATGACAATAACAGTAATAAATTATATTTGGTGTCCGACACAGGCAAGTGGATAATAATAATAGCTATAGTAATTTTTATAGCGCATCATGCCAAGAGAAGGCCTCAGTGTTGTTCTCTTCGCATTATTACCCAGTCGTTGAATCAACGCCTAATGTCTTGGTCGAGACCCAATGAGGTCGCCAAAATACTTTGTTAGCCAACCGAACGCGTCGTTTATGTACAAAGAAAATTAAGTCACTGGGCATAATATAGAATAAAATATTTTTGTACTCCATGCTTGTTCTGTCATTTTAAGTTATCTGATAGAATTTCTCATTTCAGTAAAAAGAGTCTGAGCTTTCTAAAGCTTCGCCCTCTGGACCCCCAACCCACCCCGAGAGTATGATGGCGACCTTTGGCTTACCAATTACCCCTACCATTAGGTACATCGAGCCCTGCTTGTCGATCAAATCCGGGCGCCATCAATGGGCTGAACATTGAAGTATCATTAAAAAGTGATGCCCCTTTACTTCCAAAGTAATTAAGGGGCATAACTTAACGTAACAGATAAAAATAATACATTTAAAAAAAAGTCGATGTTTACAACGAGTCCAGGTCTCTAACATATCTCAATACAATCAAATATTTTGATGTTACATCCTCCTTCTTTGTCTGATGATATACTGACTGATCCCTTAACCTTTTAGGCGTTTTCAATCGAAATATAAACAGTTTACATACAAAAACAAAATAGTTTAACGGATGGTGGGTCGCCAAGTTTGCTATGGTGAAAGCCATATCGAAGTTTGACTCACATAGGGCCTACTTTCTCCAACACACGGCGATGAACTAATCTAAGTACACTCCAAATACAACACAAACAGCAAAAATATTTGGTGAACAGAAGTTTGCACGACTAAATCTGTCTCGTTCGCTGTCGATTAAAAACGCACTCGATATTAAAAGATGTTGGTCGCGCGGGTGGCCTAAGTACACTTGCACAATCAATCGATACCTCTCGAACTTTTCGGCTTTTACTCGGTATTGAATGACATTAGTGAGCGTCTTCACCAGTCCCCCAGCTGTGTGCGGGTCGTATTTTTCACCATCTAAGTGGGTGTGTAAAGTATCATGAATTATCCTATCAACGACAGAACAGTTGAAAGCCACACGCGGTTCAGTTTGATAGGTCTGTACGAATTTAGGAGGGGCTGGAACAGGCACTTTCTTTTCACTCACAGCGTCTAATTTGTAACGCCACCACATTGATGTTGGAACATCTTTTCCAAAGTAAAGAGATAGTTTTCTCAGGTTTACATCGGTAGTATTGCGTCTACGTATAACAGCAGCTGATGCACTTCTCCATTGCGTTGGCTTTTGACTGGGCCTCCTAGTTGGATTGGTTTGTTGCACGGATGTCACAAGAAAGGCACCAAAATCGACGCCAGCCGGCGATTGGTCAGATATCTTAGTCTTCTTGTCTGGCGTCTCATCCTCATTAAATTCCATTAAATTCTTGTAACTCAGTCTAGCCACGCGCGCCATCGTCAGTTTTAGCAAAGTCGAGGCGCATTACTTAAGTATTACAGTCGGGTCTATATGAAACCTGTGTATGATAAGCCCTGTTGAGTTAACTACCGGACTCGTCTAATATCGCCAAGGCAACGGATGTTTACCGTTATAATATAGCGTTATCTACAATAAATGTTGACACACTGAATCCTATCTTCATTATTAGACTGCATTCTTGATAACACCTATTTACGCGCTATCATCGATTAAGTTTTGTCATAAAATGTAGCTCTTGACGGTAGATTGTACACCTGGTAGTAATATCTCCGAGATCAGACTTTGATCATAACAAGAACGAAAACAATAATCATAGTTAAAAGGAAGTCTATAATAAATAAAAGTACGAATATTATCATTATATACATACACACACATATATACATATACATACATATAC